TATATATATATAAATAAATACATTGCAGATTCATGAAAATGGTGGAACTGCTGTCCCAAATGCAGAGGCAGACCCCACACTCTCACACACCATGGTAGCTGATGTTTCGTGTCCTGCTGTGTCCAACCACATGCTTGCTTGTCCGTTGTTCTTGCAGGTGTAGCAATGGTGCAGATAGTAGGTGCGCCCTGTGTAAAGGCAGGCCCCAGCGCCAACGGTAAACACCCAGCCGCTCGCCTCTCAGACCTACACTAGATGGCATGGTAGTGAATGGTGTCTACATGCATCGTATTGTATATATGGGGACGTTCAAACCGTGGCATGGTGCTAACTGCTGTGAACATGACTTATCCGGTGTACAGTGGTGACTTTCAGCCATTCCAGCAGATAGAAACAGAATATATCTGTGAACATACATGCTGACCTTATTCTTTTACCTCTGGGTGACACAAAGCAGCATACAGCATTTTATTGCCACAAGTATTTTTTTAGTGATTTATGGTTTAAAGCATACAGCTAACAACTTTCATGAGCTGTTGCTGAAATATTCATCATGAAGTAAAAAGAAAAGAAAAAAACACTTTAAATAGGTAATGTCCTCTCTGGTGTTAGGAGTACTTGTTTTTATTTGTTTAATTTAATGTGACGAATTCTTAAAATAAGGTTTGCTTTTGGTTGCTAGAAACAATTTTCTTTTAGTCAGGTGTTTAGTGACTTTAAATAAGTGAAGCATAAGTAGCGTTAGTTGTTGCCTCGTAGCACCTAAGGGCAACATGTGGTCCTGTTGTCGTCTTTTTGTGGCATGGTTGTTGGTGTGTGGTCACTACTTGTTTATATGTGTATATCTGTGTTCGCTTAGTTAAAGTTCTCTACTATTATGATGATTATATTAAAAAGAGGAATAAAAGTTATTCGATGCAGTTTATTACACAAACAAATTATCAGCAGTTAATTAAACCATAGATAGAGCTTTGGCTGATCTGCTGATGACATGGTAGCTTTTACCCCAAAAACTTGTTTCTTCATTAGGGTTTGTTTACATTATTCAAACTAACACATACAGAGCTTAATGTCAATAAACAAATAACAGAGAAATATTTAAATCAATTTATTCTCCTGTTATTTATTTGATTACCTTGATTTAGAATTTGATCAAATCAGATGTCACTCAGTTTGTATCAATTCATTTGAGTTGCTCATTAAAAACAATGATTTAACTAACCTTCCATCGTCTTGTTTCCTCTCTGATCTGCAGGGATGCTCCCTGGCATGGGCCCACCTCTAGTTTCCATGATGCACCCCCAGCTGACGCTTTCAGCAGCACCTGCTTCTATAGCTGGATCGTTGCAGCTCCCTGAGTGGTCGGAGTACAAAACAGTTGATGGGAAAACGTACTACTACAACAACCGGACGCTGGAGTCCACCTGGGAGAAACCACAGGCTCTAATAGAAAAGGGTAGGCTCTGCTTTACAGTAACATAAGAGAGAAATTAACTAAATCCCTAAGTTTTTATTAGGTTTGAGCATGAGCTTTTAATTTTAATTCAAATAGTAACTTTTAGGTGAAAGCAATAATCACATATGGCACAGCAAAATGATTTAAAAAATCATAAAGATTAAGAAATGTAACGTCTATGTTAGGGTTGGGCCTAATCGTATCATGTGCAAATAATCGTTGCATAAAGGTTGTTATCCTTTATAGTGGAAATCCTTATGTTTGTTGAATTTACTATTGTCATTAGCCAAAATGTGATGTTCTCATCTTTTTTCCATCATCTTCAGATTTGTGGAAAGATTTACCAGTTTTCTATTCTGCATAGTTCTTTTTCACTAGATTGTAAAAAAAGGCAAACACTGAATAATATCAGCTCTAGAAAATGCTCAACCAAACTCACATAAATTCCTTTTTTTGTTAGCAAAAGAAGCAGAAAAGGCTAAAGAGCGTCTGACCCAGGAGGAGGCCGAGGCGATGGAAATGGAAGCGGAGGAGCTCAAAGCAGAAAACACTAATAATGAGAAAGAGGTAGGTGAACAAAATAATTGTTTATAACTTTAAAAGAATGATTTGCTGTTAATACAATTAAACATTCCTCCAAAACCACGATTCGGCAGAACAAAGAAAAAACTACAATAATGTCAAATTAAACATTYAGCAGTGTCATTTATTTTATTCTGTCAAGGAGCCTAAAGTAGAGGAGATGACGGAGGAGGAAAAGGCAGCTCAGAAAGCCAGGCCTATCGCCACCAACCCAATCCCTGGCACACCTTGGTACGACTCCCCATAAACCCACACACTTTTAATCACTTCTCTCTGAGACACACAAAAAATCCTACTTTCTTCTTCCTTTTCTGATCAGGTGCGTCGTGTGGACAGGAGATGATCGCGTTTTCTTTTACAACCCAACGACTCGACTGTCCATGTGGGATCGACCCGACGAGCTGATCGGCCGGGCCGACGTCGACAAACACATCCAGGAGCCTCCACACAAGAAAGGCCCCGAGGATGGCAAGAAGACAGGTGTGGACAATACTGTTTGACATCAAACCACACATTAGTCATGACTTTCATGTGAAAATGGTTTTTGTGTGGTCAGGTGTCAATAAGGAGGAGCCAGAGCTCTCTGCTGCTGCTGAGGATGTTCAGGATGATGAGCCAACCAAATCTAAAAAGAGAAAGTAAGCCTTGCTTATTAATACTATTAGATTTTATTTATAAAACATTTCATTTGAGGAACTCAAACATAATATAAACATTAAAGACTTTCAGATTTTGGGTATTTTGCTGTCTTGGACCTAAAGTTTCATTCATCGCTCCTTAAAGGGATCCATGATTAGTTGTAACATTAGACTTTATTTGATAAATAAATATTTTAACTGTAAAATAAAGACTGTAAA